AGAGTTCGCGAACCGTCGCAGGTTTCGCTGATTTTCGCGATTTGCGTGAAACGCGACGGATCGCAAAAATTGCAAGTGTGTGAACATTTGAAACACTGAATATGAAACAAGTGGAATCATGAGCAGTCGTCATTCAGCCATCACTATCAAGCAGAAGTGGCGGCAGGATTGGAGAACACCTTGCAGTATTGATCGGGCACTTGTGATTTCCGTGACCCGTCGCGTGAATCGCATGAATCGCGCAAATCGCGAAAATCAGGCGAAATCTTGCAAAGGATCGCGACTCCGACACCAGTACTAACGGCTCTGCCTGTGGCATAAAAAAATTGCCCTCTCAACTAGCCGCTCACGAGAAGGAAAAATCACTGATTTTTTTTTTACAATAACAGCTTCGAAACCAAGCTGGAGCAAACATCTTTCTGTTGTATATTTCGCACAATCCACGTTACCAAATCCAGCACTTAGCCAAGAATAAGTCTAATCGGCGTTGGATTTTTAAATTTTTCTTCAGTTAACATGAGTGTTTAAAGGTTGATGCCATGGCAGATCGTTACGTCAAGATCAATGTTGGTGGTGCTTTGTTCCAAACAACAGTCGGAACACTTACAAAACATGACACGATGTTACGAGCTATGTTCAGTGGACGCATGCAGGTAAGAACTCTGGGTTTGTAAGCCATATGAAAGTTGTTTGAGACGGCAAGAATTGCTCAATTGTTCTATCAGGGAGACTCATTGAAGATATCTGAGTAATTTCAGGTAGTTACTGACTCCAACGGCTGGGTTTTGATCGATAGAAGTGGGAGGCACTTCGGCATCATACTAGATTTTCTTCGCGACGGCTTCGTGCCTCTGCCTGATTGTCGTGTGGAGGTCGAACAAATTTTAGCAGAAGCCCGGTATTACCTTGTGCAGGTGAGTGCGATGTCGGTGTCTGTCGTTTAGGGTGCGGGTCGCTAGAACAGAAAGCGACTCTTCCACTTTTCGCAACGCGAAACTTTTTCGCTACGAGACTTCACTTCAGATCATGGGTGGACCAGAGTTCCCGCAGCGAAAAAGTTTCGCTCTGCAAAGCGAAAAATCGCCTTCCGTTCTAACAAACCACACCCTGAAGTTGTTCAATGCTGTCTGCTACTTTGAATCCTATAGATTTTTTAAGCATCTAAGGCAATATTTTGCTTCTTCAGTATACTGAGGATATAGGCGATGTTTGAGTAAATTTTCATCTTACCGGCCAAGATGATGCTAGTTAAGCGGAGGACATTTTAGATTGAGGGAATTTATAAAAAAATATTCCAAAGGAAAGAGCGATGAAATTCTAAATTTAATGCCCATTCTGAGTCTATTCCAGTTAGGGGGATGCATCATAATGCAGTTTTTCCAGAAAGCAAGAGTAACTCCCAGCCAGGGGAGTGTAGCGAGTCTACGGGAGTGGGGGTGAGGGTTGTCACTTGACATGCGTGAAAAGCTGGAAGAACATTCCAGCTTTTCACGTTTTCATGTTCGAGTTCAAACTAGTTCGCCGAGAAACAGCATCATGATGCCCCTAACTGGAATAGGCCCTCCCCCATTTTTATTTCAACTTGCTCAATTTGATTTTTTTTACAATCAAATTCATGAGGTAGCTTTGCGATACAAGTTACCCCTTTCTTAGTTCGAGCAGCTATCATAATTAGCTTCTACAGGACTTGGCAGCCGAATGTCAGTCATGGTTAGAGACGTTGAGAATGAGGCGAGACGTTCGGGAACCGATGGCGACATGCAGTATTCCCGTCGTGCACACGAAAGCTGAAGCTGATCGCCTTGTCCTCAACTCTATTAAGGTATAATAGCTTGCAATTGTAGCATGTAATCAGAGCGTTTGACTAACAATTATGAATCTTATTGAAGCTACAGACATTATTGTGTTTATTTTAGCCAGCCATAAAACTGCTAATCAATCGTCACAATAACAAGTATTCGTATACAAGTCAGTCTGATGATAACATCATGAAAAATCTGGAGTTGTTCGATCGTCTGGCGGTGAAATTCCATGACCGTATCCTGTTTGTGAAGGGTAAGGTTTCCTGTTCTTGTTCTGAAAAAGTCAAGTCGGATAGTTAGGTCGGTACCTGATCAATGATGTTTAGATGTTGGCTCGGAATCAAGTGAAGTCTGTCAGTGGAAGTTTTTCGGAAAAGGAGAAAAACGAGCTGAAGTATGCTGCACGTCCATCGTCTACGCAACTGATAAGAAACAGACAAAGGTGCATACCGGATAAATAAAAAGAAAATTGTTACGATTAGACGTTATCCGCTACTTATGCAGTCACCACCAGTTGCACATTGGAAGGATTCACCAACGCAACCCGCATTTGAGCTGCATTCATTAATTTTTTTTGATCGATTATTATTTTCCGTTTTGCAAGATTTAGACGCAGGTAAACGGCATGACCTCGAATTCTTTGGAGCGTGAACACCCGTTGGATATTGAAAATTAGATTGTTTATAATTACCAGAGAAAAATGGCGTCGAATGCCCAACTTTCTTTCCATAGGCGACTAAAATACCGAAATAAAAAAAATACCAGCGCTCGGAGCTGCCCTTTTCCTCACGCGCTTGTGTATTGGAAACGTTTAGCTATGGCTAGTTTCGAGATGAATGACTACTTAAAAACTTTTCAATAAAGAGCAAGGACTACGAATGAGATTAATGGTTCCATTGCAGGTGGAGTTCCCTGATTCGAAGATATATGATGAAGCGATGTCGATATCCTACGCTTTGAAGAAAGGGGTTTTATGTTCGAAGGTGGATGTCTCAATGTATTACGCAAGTTTTTTTTTTATGTTCGATATGATAGCCGAAAAAGTCACTTCGATATGTTCGCTGGCACTCTGCCGCCTGCTAGTATCTTAGGAAGATATCCTTTCTCTCTGTTTCAAAAGCATTACTTTCCATATTCATCAAATATCGTTCAGATGCGGTGGAGAAGCATGCAGTCCGAAAGAGGCCGGACCGCCACCTGATGGAGTTAGTGACTGAAAAAACTGAAGCATTCGAGTTATTTATATTGATTCATGACGCTAATATGCTCTTTTATGACCGAGTATCGTGATCGACGAATTCCTTTCTCTTTTTGCTTTCTTCTTTTCATTGTGTACCTTTCATTAGCTTCTTCTTTATCATATAGGATCTCTAGTGCAACTGATATAGTCGCCAAAATACCAAATGTTGACGCCGAGCGTATGATTCCTCTAGTCTGCTACGATTTTCTACGTATATAATAGTGCATATATTGTGGTTATAAGCTTTTGTGAACGTTGATAAATATTTTTTTCTAATTCGTGAAATGCTTAGTATATGAGTCTTACAAGGGAAGGATGGTAGGTCGAAGTGGCCGTTCGAAATGAAATGTATACCTCCTGATGCGTCTCCAGACGCTGATTCCAAATCTGCCTTCCAAATCTGCTAAACGACTCTCCGAACGGAGTTATGAAGCGTAATAGCTCAGTGGTGATGGTCCGGGGTGGCAGGTAAAAGCTCGTAGGATCGGTTCCTTTGCAAATTGGTTGCTTTGCTTTTGTCTC